CCAATGTTATCTTCCCCGTGTGGGTTCTGGGGTCCTTTTATAGAGAAAACAAGAATTGACCCACTGCCTACCCAAAAGCATGTCGTAAGAGTCAACTAACTAGGAGCTTCCTTCAAAGTTGGAGTGCATCTTCCTGAAAGGCAAGGAACCAGCAGTCTGCATACAAATGAGGCAGGTCTGTAAAACGAATGCACACGCAACACTCAGGTTCTGGAACAGGGCTGCAGTCCGAAAGTGGGTGAACAAACAGAACTTTTCTCCAGAGTTTACAGCTGGTGAACGCGAAGAAGAAGAAGGAGATATGTTATCTCAATTTTCTAACTGGCTGTGGTCTGCCATATTATAAGCCGATGATACCATCATAAAACTCCACTTTATCTCCCTTTATTGCACAATAAGTGATTCTGGCCCATACGCCGAGGCCACAACAATCGAACTACATGACTGCCTCAGACTTGAGGCTCTAACCGGGATATTCTAAAAAACCGATCGAAGAGTGCATTGAACAGAACCGGAACTCAGACCTCCTCGAACGGAAGTTGGGAAATGGAAGGCAATTAGAGCAGAGGTTCTTAAGTTTTGGTGTGAGGGCTAGCCTGGTAGAATTGTTGTATATACAGAGGCCGTAATATATATATATATATATATATATATATATATATATATATATATATATATATATATATATATATATAAATGCGCACACGCACACACTTTCACAGATGCATATATGCTCTTTTCAGGAGTTAGATGTGTGGTATGAAACTCTTACAAAAGATGGCATTAATCGCGTGAAGCTCACCAATACTGGAAGGTAGTGTATCGTGTGTGAAGGGGGAGAAAAAGATAGATTGAGAGAGACTGACAGGATGTGCACAAGTAAAATTAATAGAGGACGATCCTTTTTACACCAGTTTCGCTGGACTCGCTATTTTTATAAACCAATCGACACTCGGTAGATGTCGCAGTCAACATCACCCTGGCCGCCTTTATTTTTCATGACATTACCTGGTACCCATTTTTGACTTAATCGACCTGGAAGCCCAGTTAATTGTGAAGGGAAACAAAATCCGACTCTTCTTCTTCTTCGTCTTCTTTATCCTTCACCGGCTATAAACTCCTAAAGAAGTTTTGATTGTTTGCCCACTCCTGAACTTGGATCTTGATCTAAAAAATTAGTTTTGTGTGCACATTCGCTATACAAATCTGACATATCTGTATGTTGGTTCCTGGCCTCTTAGGCAGATGCACTCTGACTTTAAATGAAACACGTCTGGTTATTCGCCTGCTACGACATGCTTGTTAGGCTCAATACTGAAGGACCTCCAGGATAGGGTCTAGCCAAGCCACTGTGCTCCCTTATGCTGGTAGCCCAGAGTTCTTTTTGGTGACAACTGTTACTGCTAACATCGTCATTACTCTCGTTAATCCCTCTTATTCCTAGACTCCCCTTGCTCTCCTATCAGCTCTTCTTAGATATGGCGTTGATGATGGTGAAGCCATTTCATTTTGCTGGTTCCTAGTTTGTTTATTCCATGGTATCTCTTCTTCGTTCTGTCTTTCTGTTGCTTCTTCTTCTGTTCGTTCTCCATGTCGCTGGGTTTCAGACGAGAAGACCACAAACCTTTGTGAGAGTTACTGCGACATAAAAATAACCTTAGCTCCCAGGTCGACCCAGCCTTGAGTGGGTACCGGGTGCAGTCCCGGGAAGTGAAGGCGGCCGGCGTGATGCTGACCACATCACCCATCTTGTGCCGATTGGTCTATAAAAATATAGGTCTAGCCCTATATGCCCTATACACTTAAAGGCGTGGATAAGGGTCCTTTACTTACTTCTTTACTCACTGGGACATGTATCCTCAAATGATCTATAAAGCTTGGTTTACACTGGAATGCCAAATGGCCAGACCTGGAATGATAATAATGATTGCCAATAAATGAGAAAACTAAAATATAACACCATAATCAAATTATTCTACATACAGTAAAGCAACACTAAAGTGAATGCAGTGTAAAGTAAAGGAACGTGACAGTATATTGAAAACTAAAGTAAAAGTATGTGGAGTTAAGTAAAATAAACATTTAAAATAAAGTTAAAGTAGCTGAAAATAGAATTAAGTAAATAAAAGTAAACTTAAAGTAAAATACCAGTAAAGTGAAAGGAACGTAAATTGAAAGTAAAGTAAACGTAATGTAAAACTCAAGTAAAGTAACGAGCGCTGTTCACGCAATTGGTGCATCGGGGCCACATTTTGTAGACCTTATCGGAACTTGTCGGCGTCAGTGGCTTAGGCGTTGCGAACGCCCTTCGTAATGCCAGAGTGCCGGGTTCGATTCTAGTTGTGGACGATTTGTCTTGGACTGGCTTCGTCAGTGGTGCCGAGAGCTAACCGTTCTGGAAGCAATGACAAACTACTGAACGTAAAGTATGCCTAGAATACCCGCAACAACCAAAAATGCTGGGGTTGGTTCTGCAACGTCCTGTAAAGGATACGCAACTAACTAACTATCGGAATTCAATGGCTAGCGCTCTGTACTAACCCACTCACGTATTCAGAAAAAGGTAATGACATGCAAAACAAGCGTGTTATTCACATAATGAAGCCAACTCAAATGTTTATGAAATTATCTGGTCACCCGAAACCATCTGCCTGGCGTTTTTACCAAGAATTCATGTTTTCAGCCAGCTGGATAAGGGATTTCTATGTTTGTGTTCTTCTTCTTCTTTCTCACTTTTCTTTTTCTTCTTCTTCATCTTTTTCTTCTTCTTCTTCTTCTTCTTCTTTTTCCTCTTCTTCTTTTTCCTCTTCTTCTTCTTCTTCTTCTTCTTCTTCTTCTTCTTCTTCTTCTTCTTCTTCTTCTTCTTCTTCTTCTTCTTCTTCTTCTTCTTCTTCTTCTTCTTCTTCTTCTTCTTCTTCTTCTTCGTCTACTTTTTCTTCTTTTTCTTCTTCAGTCAGATTCAAGTCTTTTTGCATCAGATCAAATATTTGAATATCACATCAACTAGGTATACAATAATGCATCTTTGAGGATTATGAGAAGAATTGTCTAAATCAAAACACAGTCTATATACTGCTTTTATTCCCCCTTTCATTACCCGCTAGTTTACCAAAAATGAAGCCGGTCTCGAGAATCAGAACTTGAGACTCCATGAGACCGAAGCAATGCGCGTGTTGTAGATGCAAGAGCAAGTTCACTCAGCTTGCCAAAGCTTCCTACAAAAGCAGCCAATTTAGTTCATGAAGATTCCCTGTGGCCTGAAGTTGTTGAGAAATCTGACAGGTAACAACGCTCTTTGTTCTTTGATAATCTTGTGTAACAATGGCATTGTGGTCTGTTGAGCACGATCAAGGCAACCAATAACAGGTGATGGCATTGTCCTTATTTGACAACTTATTCAAAAGTTGATCATATTTTGTTTACCATTTATATGATTAGATTTATTTGACTTGATTTACCTTGGTAGATTTACATTTTTCTTTTTCGAGTTCATTAGCTGTAAAACGCGATAGAAAGTCCTGGTTGTTCGTCCGCGTCTAAACTATGCTTCCTTCCAGAACCTGAGTTTTGCGTGTGCAACCGTGTTACATATCTGGATTCTTTTATGCAGACTGTTGTTTCCTCTCCTCACAGGCAGATGCCTTCCGACTTCGAAGGAAACACATCTAACTAGTCGCCGTTTACGACATGCTTGTGAACCTTGGCGGTGGGTGAGTTCTGTCCTCTCCCTCCCCTTTCTTTGCAGCCTTTACTTTACCATTGTTAGTGGTGTAGGATAGGGAGGAAAGGGGAGGCGGGTTCGTGAGCCTGAGGATTTAGAGCCGCAGTGTAGTCGCCACAAACTGTGTAGGTTAGGATTTTATTTTTGCCCCGGACATAACTAAATCTCCATCCCTTACCGAGGATCGAACCTTGGCCTCCAGGGCCAGAGACCACTCAGCTAGCCCCTCTTGGTAATACTATAAGAGGATAGATTTCATCATTATCATAAACCATCTCCGCCGTTAGAGCTCGTGGAGAGGAATAATTTGCGATACTGTGCATACAGGATGGCACTAGCTTTTGTCATGCCGCGAAGGCGTAAAGTGCCTTTAATGGTGTCGATCAATATTTCATGGCCGTTTTCTTGGCCCTCTCGTTGATCTTCTAAGATGTATTGCTGGTGGTTGTATTTGATGTTTCTGCATTCTAACGATGTGACCAAACCACTTGATTTGCTGTTTCTCGATAAATCTAGTGCAAGGTGTTGTTCCCACTGTCTGTTTTGGTCTGATAATATCATTATTCACACAATCCCCCAAGAAGTAATTTTGCGCACATTGGCTTTGGATTATGTTCATGTCTGGCACTGGTAGATCAAAATTGTGACGAATTTGTGTTTATAATCTGTTTCTTTGCACTTATTTGTGTGACTGGATTTATGTGAAAAGATCCATATAACTGACATCATGACTAGACATACAACTTGATTTATGTGACTCTATTTATGAAACTTTATTTGTGTGTTTAAATTTGTATGTCCAGATTTATGTCTAAGTTTATGTAACTAGATTTATGTAGTTAGTTAGCTTTATAATCTCCTTCTGCGTTCGCCCTTAAAACGGTGTCTGGCACTTGTATTGTGGTTTACAGCTAGGCCTTTCTGCCCAGCATTTTAGATTTCAGCAAACGTCTTCTTCTTCTTTTTCTTCGTCTTTTTCTTCTTTTTCTTCTTTTTCTTCTTCTTCTTCTTCTTCTTCTTCTTCTTCTTCTTCTTCTTCTTCTTCTTCTTCTTCTTCTTCTTCTTCTTCTTCTTCTTCTTCTTCTTCTTATTTTTCTTCTTTTTATATTTCTTCTCCTTCTCCCCCTCCCTCCTGTCATCGCCATTATTGTTATAATGTTCTGTACAAAAAGTCAAATTTGTAAATATATTTTCGAGCTAGCTAAACACATTAAACACATTTCTGTCATCCACCATACATTTCATTTCCTGTTTAGTGACACAAGATCAAACAGCGACC